CCTTCGCTTGTCCAGAGCTTGGAGTTCCTTCTCGCTTTGGTGTGATAAGCACAATGTATCGCCTGCTGGGCTACGATCCTTCTCGAAAGAGAAACTTCACATGCCAAAAATGGGAACTTTTCCTTGGTGTGGAGGGAAAGGAAGTGATTCGATCCTTTTACTGAAATGGTTGAAATTCTTGAGTGGGCTACATGGTCCTGCAAACCCATCATCACCTCTCTTTCCCTTGGTGTTGAGAGCTTGCTGCAATGGGTTATCCTTCCAGGCCATTCATAGACATGGTATTTGGTTGAAGTCAAGCTGCAGAGATCGCATCATGCGATGTGGGAAAGGTTTCGTTCAGGATTACGCAAGGTTAGCCAAGTGGGCCTACGACAACCGACTTCAGCTTTTTGCAATGGTTCCAAAGATCCATGCCATGGATCACTTTGCTGTTCATTTGGCGCTTTTGTGCTTTGAAGAATATGCATGCAACCCAGCAATGTTTGATTGTTCCATGAGCGAGGATTTTATCGGCCATTTGAGTCGACAATCCAGACGAATCTCCCATACCAATGTGGTCGAAAACACCATATTAGCATATAAGGTGAAGGCAAGATTCGTGTTGAAGCGATTCAAGAAACGAAAGAACAAATAACACCTGGTTGTGCAGTATAAGATATCCTAACTCTTATGCAAAAGTTGTGAATATGGTTTGATTCCATGTTCAGCTGCTAAATTTTGATTTGTCCTCATTTGCAACCGGGTGGCTAGCGTGTGGTTCTCACAGAGAGCCAATGATGCCATGGCTTGGCAACCCGCAGCTTGGAAAACAGGGTGTGAAAAAGAAACCGTTTGAATGCCCTTTGATCAACAAGTTAACCATTGAAATCCAGGTCATTTTTGTTGTTTGGGCCATGCAGATCTTAAATATCACAGTTGTGCCCACATCTCCACTGAGTGTTGGATGAAGCACATTGGCTAGGCGGCAGGGCATCAGGTGTAAGAATGCCACAAAATGATAAGCATCTACAAGATCCCAAAAATGCCAGGGTCTAAAATTTTGACCAGGGTCAGTTTTCATGTTTGGGGTTTGAAATTTTGGACCTTCAGACTGGGTACTAAAAAAATGCAGGGCCGGGAGGCCCAGGTATGGACAACCCAAACAAGTTGCAGTAATTGTCAATGTACCAGTACTTACATATTTTCTCCATTCTCCAGCAATATCTCACAAATAACATGACATTGAATTGTTTGATACGAACAAATGACCAGAATCCTCAAAACCCTTGGTTCCACAGCTCTTTGTCTTGACATGACTAGAATCGTCGACAGGAGATGGCTTAAGTATTGAAGAGGAGCGTCAAAAATCAACGATATGATCGCTATGTGGCTTATGGGAAAATCATGGAAAACCCAAACATTCTAACATTTATCATATCTTATCATCATCAACTTGAGGAAAAGCCCTAAGTTCCATCCATGGTTATAAGCACCACTTACCCGACACAGCAGTGATAAACCCCGATCCACAAACCCTGGTTGGATCTGGTTGATGAAAATTGCGGAGGGTACCCCGAAACAGTGATATACAGTGATGATTTGCGAGTAGCATGACCATGACCCTCACTTGAACTACCCAGACCAACCAGGGGTCTATTCATCGGAGTGACGCAAGTCTCGAAGTTCATCTCCTGCCTGCAACGAGCTTGCGCCAGAGTTTCATCGAATAACCGGCCAGTTGAAACACATGCATATTATAATATATTATATATATATGATTGTCATTGATTGTCTATATTCATCTATATATAATCAACTCCGCTATCTTAGAATGTCCGTTTTTCCAATTATGCAGTTGAACTCGAACGCACCTCCACTTAGAATATGCCCACATTTCGTGCTCATTTGTTTTCTCCCCATTTGGCCTTTGCTCTGGAAGCCTTTGTACACCTCTATGCAGCCTGTTTCTGCTTTTTTTCAAGCAGTTTTCACATACTAATTCAGTTCTCATGTCAGCTGCGCGGCCACCCAGGCAATCCTTGTATAGGTGGACCTGGTGCGAGCTTTAACCCAAAACCAAGACTTGCATTGGAAACGCGCCACTTGTGGGGGGCACCCTTTGCGGCGGCCAAAAAAGCAATTCTTTAATTGACCGGTAATAAGAAAATTGACCTGTTTCAAGGGGTAGATTTTTCTCAAATCTTTGACAATCGAATTTTAACCCAAAACCATTGGAAGCGCGCCACTTGTGGGGGGCACCCTTTGCGGCGGCCAAAAAAGCAATTCTTTAATTGACCGGTAATAAGAAAATTGACATGTTTCAAGGTGTAGATTTTTCTCAAATCTTTGACAAGCGAATTTTAACCCAAAACCATTGGAAGCGCGCCACTTGTGGGGGGCACCCTTTGCGGCGGCCAAAAAAGCAATTCTTTAATTGACCGGTAATAAGAAAATTGACCTGTTTCAAGGGGTAGATTTTTCTCAGATCTTTGACAATCGAATTTTAACCCAAAACCATTGGAAGCGCACCACTTGTGGGGGGCACCCTTTGCGGCGGCCAAAAAGGCAATTCTTTAATTGACCGGTAATAAGAAAATTGACCTGTTTCAAGGGGTAGATTTTTCTCAAATCTTTGACAATCGAATTTTAACCCAAAACCATTGGAAGCGCACCACTTGTGGGGGGCACCCTTTGCGGCGGCCAAAAAAGCAATTCCTTAATTGGACAGCAATAAGAAAATTGACCTGTTTTGCCGGGCTGTGTTTTTTCCCAAATCTTGTAAATCGAACAAATTTTGTTCAGGGGATGCCGCACCTTGTGCCGAGGGCCAGGTAGAGAATAAACTTCTGTGACACCATCCCAGCTGCATCCACCTTCATCCCCCTTGGGCTTGCCATTGTGCTTGCCGGCGAGATTGGACACTGGAACTGAGCTAGGCTTCTCAGGCTTGCAGATTGTCTTGGACGTCAGAAACTTGGTGCAAACCCGGACGAAACAACCGATGTCCCTTACCGCGCAAATTACGCAGTAGGCCATGATAGCATCAAACATCGTGATATTCCCAAGCATGCTGCTTGGAACCAGAGCCTCTTGATATCTTGACACATGGCTACCATTGTCAATACAGATTTCAAGTAAGCATGGGGTCCGCTATAGTTTGACCAACTTCCACGATCTATGGGAACACAAATACATAGAATATCCGCCAACTACTCCCAAACCACTGGTTTACCTTGTGAAAAGATTTGGGCATGATTGAACAACCACTACCGGTTCCCATAAATTGTAGATAGAAATTGCCACTGCTCCACAAAATTGACCTCAATTCTCCCCAATCCAAAATAATTACCAAGCTATATTTAGGGTACCACCTGGACTTTACCCCTAATTTCCTTGGAACTAAGTACCAATTTAAATGCCAACCAATTCCAAACTAATAGTTTGGAACCCCCTGGCTTGAGGCAACCATACATAGAATATGAATCGACCAAGAAACACCGCTTTCAAGAATAATCCACGGTCCAAATGCCCAGCTAATTTTGTGGTAACCCCTGGAATATCCCCTTAACTTGCTTCGGCAACTTTCAAGAATCATCCCCAATCCAAACAACCAGGTAATTTTTGGGCACCACCTAGAATATACCATCAATTTCCTTTGGCACTAACTACCTGTTTAACCATTTAAATTCCTAAATCCCGACCAATTCCAAACTAATGGTTGGTGGCCCCTTAGCTTGGGGGTCACCAAACATAGAATATAACCCGACCAAGAAACACAGCTTTCAAGAATTATCCCCAATCAGAAATACCCAGCTATTTTTGGGTAACACTTGGAATATACCTTAAACTTTTTTGAAAGTTAGCCACCCGTTTAAGCCGACCCATTCCCAACTAATGGTTTGGGGGCCCCTAGCTTTGAGATAACCATACATAGGATATACCACGGCCAAGAAACACAACTTTCAAAATTATCCTTAATCCAAAATACCCAACTAACTTTGTGGTAACCCCTGGAATATAATCTTAACTTCTTTGCGAGACTAATTGCCCATTTAAAAAACCGATCAAGTCCCAACTGAGGGTTTGGGGGCCCCTAGCTTGAGCAACCATACATAGAATATACCCCGACATAGCCCGACCAACAGAGACAGTTTTCAGGAACCATTTTCTTTCTCACTCATGTAATTGTCTCTTGTTTCCCCGGTGACACAACCCGGTGATACTTCCATCTTCTCCATACTCATGCATTGCGGCTGGCATTACCTGCAAATAAATCTTTGCCAAAAAGATCAATCCACCACAGCCCGAACTGTAAAGTTATATTGCAAATCATTGTGACATCATCAGCCGCCATCAACAAATTCATGCCTGGGATTCCGGGCCTTGGGAGAAATGAGCTGTAAACTTTGAAACGTGTGGCACCACAATACATAGAATACAAGAACCAAACCGACTCCGAATGTTTTCTAGTCAGGGATATGTTTGCCACTTCCACCAAGTCATGCAATTGTACATTCACCCAGGCTTATCTCGGGGTCGGCCTCACAAAAAGGCCTATATGATAGTTTTTAAATTCAGGATTGGTAGCAAGCTGGAACCCCAAAAAAAATCGGAAACAGCTGAGAAACAAGGTCTGAAAAAGCACTGCTGCTGAAACGAACGGATGCGGCTCAACTACATCCATTGGTCCATGAGCTTGCTACATGGTGGCCCAAGATGCGACCCGGTTCAAACTTCTGATATTTGATGCAAACATAATGTCAGCATATACAACGAAGAAACGTTTGGGTCACATATTTCGGCCAAACATTGGACTTGGAACACCACTGCTTGAGCTGTGTTAGATTTTTCGGCACGTCAGATGTGCCTTGCATGATCCGAGACTGTCGTGCTGCCTTCGTGAAATCTGACAACAATTTATTTTAGTTCTATTTGATTTTGCTCTTCGTCCTGGAAACTGATACCTATTTTGTCGGCAAGATGCAGATTCGATGGGGGAAGCACGAACAAACTCACATCTAGTCAAGATCGTGACAGTCACCCTTCGCAAACTTGGCCTTTGGGCAATCGAACTTCTCGTCGAACTTCTCGCCGATACCTTCCCCAAACTCATCCTCCTGGTCTGAAAACTCGGCCGCGAGATCTTTCTCAACTTCCCCTTCCCCGGACACCTCGGCTGGATCCACACCCACAGATGCTGAAAGATCCTTTGGAAGAACCTCCGTCAGTGGCGGAACCTGCGGCGATTAGGGTTTCCGAAAAGGAGCCATGTGAATGCTTCCAACAAAAAATACAGAATTGGTCCGCTATTCTTTACATAGAATATATTGCATTGTATAATTCCTAAGAAAAACTCTTAGATTTGGACTTATATTCTATGTGTTGGGTTGCCAGCAGAACAACCATTTTGGGACACGTGTTGCCTCCCCATCTGTCACTTCGAATTGTCGCACAAATAGGTGAAAAAATGGTCCATCGCCAAATCGCAAGGAGAGGTGAGATGGGTCAAGACTCATTTTCAGTTCCGTGATCAGACAACTCTCCAAAGTCGCAGCGGTGGCATTTGACGGTCGAGGAATGTAGGTCTTGGTCTTGGTGTCAATCACGATTTTCCTGTATGGGGCATCTAAGAAGGATTGGTATGCCTTCTGAGATGCAGGGGTCAAAGTTTTTCCTTCCGACGCCCTCTTGGCTAGCGTGCCATCCCACTTCTTCCTGAGAACCATCCATTGCGACATAGCCAACTCCAACGGTACGTTGAAGTATCGGGGTAGTTGTAGAGGTTCAGGGGACTCAGTCTTCACGTACCAGGCATGGATTAATTCACCTTTCAATGGCGTGGCAGCCCTTTCCCATGCCAGCCGATAGGCACCTGGGAGCAGGGCCAACTCGAAGTTATATATACATATATACATACATATAAATATCATTGTAAGCATCTACAAGTACCATATTCTATGTATGTGGGGCTGCAGGGAGATGATTGGGATATTACGTACTTTGTGAAAACGTGGTGATGCAACATGAATCTGAATGTAAATATAATAGGGTCTATCATGACATAAATGGAATTCCCTTTGAGAAGTAGCAATCCTGGATGTCTGAAGCTTCTGAACTGGAACTTTCCTTTGAAAGAGCAAGCCCCCCAAAACGATCCATTTCTTTGTACTTCTGATATAAAGAATGAGTTTTTCAAGCTCACCTAAGGGTACCCCCCACGACCGTTGACATAGGACAATGATAAAATCTACTTTGCAATGAAAACAAATTGCATTCGGCGGTGTTCCTCAAGAAGATGATGAATCTTCCCATTGGATCCCATTGGGACATATTCTATGTATGTAGATCTGCAGGGAAATGAATCTCTTACATGTGTAAGGGTATATATGTAATTCCCTCTGGGGTGGCAACCCTGGATGTTTGAAGCTCCTGAACTGCAACACTCCTAAAAAAACAGGCACCCCAAAATGATCAATTCCTGTGTGCTTTTGATATAAAGGAATGATTTTTTCAAGCTCACCTACAAGGGTACCCCCCCCAACCGTTGTCGGAGAACAATGACAAAATCTACTCTCTTATAAATAAACTTAGCCCTAGAAAAGCAATACCACTAAACTAACATAGACCTAAGGGGGTAGCCTTACCATACACGTTAGCAATGAAAAAACAGGTTGCAAGCCATTTTTATGCTAACATAGACCTGCGTCTACCACAGATGCACCTGCCACATCTGCCGCGCCTACCACAGCCTGAGCAACCTCTTGACGGACCTGACCTCCAAATCCCTGCGCAACCTCCTGACGGACCTGACCTGTGTGGCCTGCCACGTCACTTGCCGCGCCTACCACAGAAGCCTGCGCAACCTCCTGACGGACCTGACCTCCATGCCCTGCGCAACCTCCTGACGGACCTGACCTGTGTGGCCTGCCACGTCACTTGCCGCGCCTACCACAGAAGCCTGCGCAACCTCCTGTCGGACCTGACCTCCAGAACCCTGCGCAACCTCCTGTCGGACCTGACCTGCGGGGCAGAGTGACATAGACCCTCAAAACATCCAATTTATAGTGGAAACTAATCTTTCAACCCCTATCTGCCAGGGTGTATGTTAATTTACCAAATAGTTTTGCACTTATTCGTTTTCTAGGGTTAAGTTTACTTATAAGAGAGTAAATCCCAACAAAACAAATGGAATTTGGTGGTGTTCCTCAAAAAATGGTTGAATCTTCCCAGTGGGACCTATATTCTATGTAAGTGGTGCTGCAAGGAAATGAATCTCTTACATGTGTAAGGGTATATATGTATATATGTGCGTGTGTAATTCCATTTGGGGCTTCTTGAATTGAATTCTGGTACTTTCTATGTGCTTGTGGATGCTTGTATATCAATGTATGATTTAATTTTGACAAAGTAATTGAAATATCAACTACGTTCAACAATCTATGTATTGGAGCACCCAGCTTGTTAACATATTGCTGAACTCATCTTTGCATGTCAAGTGTCTCTTGTCGAGAGAAGGAATGTCTCTCATGCCAAGCAGATCCCGATAAGAACCCTTGACACGTTGCATGTGCTCTTGTAATTCTTCTTCATCTCCGTTGAAAAGCCATTCTGCTGCAAGCTTGGGGGAAAGAAAACCACGGCTCATCCATGCCCACAAAAGCGTCTTTCCCTTCGCCAGTTCGCCCAACTTTTGAAAGGCAAAAGCATCAGCTGCAATACTGGTTGCCACAGGGCAAGAGATGGATGGAAGCAAGCCCCCTGGGCCAATGTCATACGCTGACACCTGACCAATGGCCAAACCATGTCAAACCATGTCAAACCATTGGACCAGAAAAATCAAGTGATCAAAGTATGTTGCAACATTCTATGTACTGAAGGTTATATAAGGGGGTTGCCCTGTGGTTTCCCAGAACTGGCTACTTCCAAAATTGCACATTCAGGAGAACAGTTGATGTAAGTATTGATTCATGTGCTGATACTTGGGAAGTAGGCATTGGTCTAGAAAACCACTACGTTTGTTCCACCAAAACCATCTGATATTGTTGACTGGCCATATTCTATGTATAAAATCTTGCAAGGGAGAGATCTCCCGGTGGTTTCCCCAGCGTTAAATCCCCAAGGAACATGTTTGGAAGAACAGTTGATGTTAACATGTTGTTTCAAGAAGCAGATTATAGCAAGTAGCCCTTGTTCTCAAAAACCACTAATACCCTAACGATGGTTCCAAAAAATCACATGATAATGTTCACTTGCAATATTCTATGAACTGAAAGTTGCAAGGGAGAGATGTCCCTGCGCGGTTTCCCCCAGAATCGGCCAAATCCGAAAATAAGAGCATTTTTGGACAAACAATTGATATCATGCGACTCTTTTGTTTGATGAAGTAAAGCCCCTTCTAGCTTCATATTCTATGTATGGTGTGAAGGGGAGGCCCGCACCTCCTGCTGAAGCAATGGGTTCATGGGCATCTTCAACGCACATCGAAGATAGGCCGATCGCAGCAAATGCCAGTGACCGTGCCATCCGTCATTCGGTGATGAAGACAGTCCCCAACCACCTATAGGGACCAAAAAGAAAAATTGTGAGAATCTATTTCCCTTTCTATAGACCCTCCAGCTCCTAAACATGGGTAAATATCTTTTTTACGAGTAAATTGTTTTTTTGGGTACATGCTGTAGGCTTGGCCCCACCTGGAATTTGAACGTCACTGTCTGGGTCTGCCCCAACTAGCAATACGTTCTGCTCTTGGGCCCACTGCTTGCGAAGATCCAGATAGCTGCGGCTGAGGTGGCTGGTGCATTTGTCGCAAATCACCATTGCTCTCTCGCTGTTGTCCAAGCAACCAATGGCACGTCGTTGCTTTCGGAGTTCCGTCGTGAGTAGATCCAGGAACTTGACTGTGGTTGCCCCACTCCACATATGAGAATCCGATCCAGAAGATTCAATATGGAGGATGCCTTGATGCTCTTTGTTCAACTTGGCCATGTCCTCAGCAGATATATATATCCATCGGGAACCGTGACGAATGCGCATCCCATCTCCCCGGTGATCCACGAAACTGTGGTCGTCGTGCGAGGCGACCTCGCAGGAAAAGAATCATAATTTGACCCATGGTATAGATCAGGTGGGTACTCCTCCAATAGTCATAGTCAAATATTTACAATAAATACCCACCAATTAAACAGCCTACAGGTTATTAATCCAGGCTGATATTAAGCAGCCATCCCCAGCCACCTAACACAATATGAAAGTACCTCAAGATGCTTAGAATCCCAATACTGTTCAACAAACATACATAGAATATGGTTCTGAAAGCAGTTGCATCACATGGATTGGAATCCCACACCTCCAATAGTTCACAGTGTTGGCTCCACCATAGCCCTCAATGTCGGCCAGCCGCACCTTCCACTTGGCGTTCCGCTCAGCGAGGGGCAGACTTATCGTTTGCCCGAAATGTTCCTGCAAAGTAGCACGAATTTTCTGGCGAGCCGGAAACTTGGACAAGCTATCCTTCTGGCCATGCTCATTCTTTTTCCACAATGTCTTTCGCATCGGCTCGTACAAGCAAGACCAAACTTGGTCGAAATTGCAGACAAGCTTGCTGTTGACCTTCCCCTCCTGGATGTTCATTAGAATGAAATCGTTGACATGCTGTACGTGAGGATGCTCTCTGGGCAAATGTCTCGTGGGCTTGTCCTGAGTGAACAGGCTGTAGCCATAAGTGTCGCAGAATTTTGCGGCCTGATACTGCTTTCCACGCATGCCAGAGGAAAATTTGATCTCACAGGGCCAGGAAGCCCGATGGGCGTTCTGCAGGTTCTTGAGCCGTTCAATCTCCTCCTCTGAAGCACCGGCTGCAACTAGATTGTCCAAAGCTTGCAGATCGGCATCCTCATGAGCAGCACGCCGCTTGGAGACCTCAGCGTTGTATGCACTGACGCAGTCGTCAATCAACTGCTCCACACTGATCATGTTCAACTCGTAGCCCTGTTTTGTTGCATGTTGCAAGATGCTGTCAGCAATGTCGGTAACCTCCTTTGGAATCTTGCTGTGGTACCCCTTTGAGGTGTGGATGTTCAAACGTTCACGCAACCAGTTTGGAACTTCATCGATCTTCGCAGCGATAGCGGGACACTTTTCCATGATCACATCCCACTTGTAAGCTTGGCAGCTCTTTCTCCACTTTGATACTGCTCCTTGATAGCATCCAGGAATCTTGAGTGCAAGAAGGGCCTTTCAGGGTATTAATCTCAGAGGCCCACTTTAGATCCCAGTTTAGGGGGCCTCTTTTAGGGGAAACCCATACATAGAATATCTCATACCCTGGGATGTCTTCATGTTCGGGATTAGCTCAAATTCTGGCATTCTGGGAAGGTGATCTTTCCCCGCAAAGATGGTATAGTGGGTTCGCGAACCAACACATAGAATATATCATATCTATTCTCCTGGTATATGCTTCACCTACCAAAGCCAGAGATACGAAAGTGTCAGACTTACCGTTGGGCTGGCGGTGCATATACATAGAATATTCATCCAAACAATGTCGGCATGTTGTTCTGTGAAGAAAGAAACCGTTTTTGTCGGGAAGTAGGTATTCCACAAACCTCAACCCGAACCAAGCCTTCTCAGGATGCTTGGTTGTCTCTGCCAGCTCTTGATAGCGCTTCAGAATCTCCATTTTTTTGCTGATGGTGAGTAAGGCACCCTTGAAATTCTGCCCCCTGAGCTGATTGTTCTTGTCAGTTTTGGCCTTTTTTGGATCACTTTCTGGCTCCCCGGCTGGTTGCGCACGCTTTCGTGAAGGCTTCGAAGACTTTCTTCCCTGTTTTTTACTTTTTTTGGATGGGGGTTCCACTGGTGGCTCCGAGGGCCCTTGTTCATTGGCCCTCTTGGCAGCTCTGCGAGCACATTCATTGAGAACACCACTGCGGGACAAAGACACTTTGTTGGCCAGTCTTTTCCACGGAAATCCATTGACCATGGTGCATAGGATCTTGGCAATGAGGGCGCTAGTAGAGAACGCATTCCCAGCAAAGTCAGCCGCCAAATGTGGTTCCAAATCCAAAACGGCTTTGGGGACATGAAATTCTTCAGCAAAAACACCATGAGCCCGAAGAAGTTCTTGTGGTTCGGCAAA